TTGTGACCGGCTGACTCCATAAGGAGTGACTCACTGGTCTCCCACTTCTTCCCCTTTGAATGTAAATCACATTAATCACTAGGAGTACTGGGTCTGCTACTGGGAAACATGCACAACATTATAGAATAATACACACAACACAACACTACAGTATGTAAATGAAGGAGTGATTCTCTTCTACCATGAAGGAACAAGCTTAATCCACCTCACTGTGATTATATTTTCTCTTCTTTGCCGCTACGTCCACATCGGTGTGAATCGTGTCCAATCGCTGGAATTGGATCCACTCCTAAACTCACCTGACTAGGGGAAAAAAACACCTGCTCCCCACCCAGAAACATCAACCAAAACAACACAAATCATCAAACTCCAGGAAACAGGACAGGGTCTCTGCACACACAGTCACCACCACACATGTATGGAGGCCCATGAGTGATGATTGAGCAGAATTACTTTTGTATTTTGCGGGGGGGGAAGTGACTGACTCTACCTTTTAAGTGCTCAGTTCAAATGATAAAGCTGTAAAAAATTCCATGAGTGAACAGATAACACTGGATTGTTTGACAGGAAGTTCCTTCTTGGCACTTCTTGACACAATGTCAATTTGAGCCCGACCAATTAATCAGCCGTTTGATAATCTTTGCCGGCTGTGGCTCAGTTGGTAGAGTCGTCGCCTCTCAACCGGAAGGTCGAGGGTTCGATCCCCAGCTGGGCAACATGTCCGATGTGTCCTTGGGCAAGACACTTAACCCCAAATTGCTCCCTCTGCTTTAGTAGTGGTGTATGAATGGGATTAGTTACTTCTGATGGATGATACTACATAGCGATCATCACTACCATCAGTGTGTGAAAGGGTGTGAATGGGTGGGTGTGACATGTGGTGTAAAAGCGCTTTGAGTAGTTAGAAGACTAGAAAAGCGCTTTATAAGCTCAAGTTCATTTACCATTTAACATTAGCATATCAAGTGACTGTTTGCATCGGCTAATTTTATCTTCGATATATACCGATATAACTAGGTTTATTCAATTTAAGTTGATGAAAGATAAGAAAGAAAGATATAGGTCTATATATCGGTATCAGAATTGTTTTCTCTCTCCCAATATCAGTATTGGCATCGGCCTCCAAAATCCTACATTGGTCAGGCCCTGATGTCAATGTTTAAAATGTCAAAACAATATCCAGCTTCTCTGGAAGCATTCCGGCTTGTGATATGTTTGCCAGATAACGACCAGCGGTTTTATTTCCTGTTTGAGTTAACTCAAGAATGAAGTTTGAGTGACCGCACATGATAGGCTCACTGTGTGTTCCCCCTCTTCTTCCCTAAAAGGTGTCTGAAGCAGCAGATGGAAAGCGTGTGTTGGTGGCTTTCCATCTTACTCGAGATGTGTTTAGTTATAGTACTCCAAAACATGTCATCGCCTCTCTTTTATCTCATTCTTCCCCCGATACACACCGCTGAGGGAGCAAGCCAGAAAAGTGTCAGTGAAATATGTTAATTCTGATCTAGGAGATAAAGCAGAACACAGAGCGAGTGAGGGAGAGATAGAAAAGGGGGTGGGAAATAAGTTTACCAGTAGAATATCTAGTCACTGCAGAAGCTTGTTTGTGCAAATAAATGGAAAAACCCACCGTCCAATCACTCCCGCCCTGATAAAAGCCTGACCCAGTGCTGGAGCTGATTAGCTTCATACGCTAACATCCACTCCTCCTAGAAGCACCACGTGCAAATTCATTACATTAGTCCAATGTCTGCCTTTAAGCTTTTCTGTATTCGCTGCACAACCCCCTCATAATGCATTATTTATATTCTAGCTGTAAAGGGCAGTGGTGATGACGTTAACATCTCAGAATGGGGATATCAAAAAGATGATTTTTATGGGAGGGAAGCCTGCATGCCAGCTGTGCATGTTGATCCTACAGTGAGATTTCTCTTCCTATGATATTGAAAAGAATTATTAAATGCCTTTTTTTTAACCTGCATTTGCATCATTGTGGATATTGCCTGGCTCAGCCCAGTTGTGGTTTCAGTAATTATAGAGTTCAGGTTGCCAAGCTAAAGATGATCGTGTTGCCTCACAGTCACCCCTGAACCATGGACTAATTGGCAGTTCTGAGGGGTCATTAAAAAATCTAACAACGATGCAACTAGCCTAAAGCGATGACTTTGTAACAGCTCTGTCCTGCTTCACCTACCCACAGGTGTTCGTTGCTGTGTTACTGCTGTCAACATGCTAACGAGCTAACGATGACAATGCATGATGTTTTGCAAGTACACAATGCTAATGCTAACCACACAACAGCTGTTTTGTCAAAAGGATTCCTCATTTGATGATGAAAATGAATGTGATTTAAAAAAATGTGAAGTCAACAATATATTTCACTTAAAAAACACAAATCTCAACCACAAGGTGGTACTTGAAGAAAAGCCATAGAATAGCAATTTTTTTCGCCAATGCTTTTATCATAAGGACGCCATAAATGTTGGTAAATAAATTGCACAAATATACTTTGTGGATTGAAAAAAAAAAGTAATATTTGAAGCTATGCCAAAGTGGGGGACTGACTGCCTGATCAATGTTGCCATTGCTAGGACAACACGGTGTAAGACGTTCCTAGTTGCTAATGTGAAATTTGGCTGAATGCTAATTTAGATTCAGACTAGTTGACACTCAGAAAACAGATAAAATTGAAAACTATTTAACACAACAGACAGGAAATGACACTGTCGTTGTGAAAACAGTGTCAAATTGGTTAGCCGAGTGTGGCTAACATTAGCAGTGCTAGCCCTGCTAGCATTCAGTTATCCTTGCAGGTTAAATTTGTAATTTGTAATTTATTTCAAGGATAGCCCCTTGAGATGCATCATCTCATTTTCAAGGGGGTCCTTACAAAACATAAATTAATCATCATAATACAAAATCAAAATAAAAGGTAAATACAAAACATAATACCAAACATTTAAACACAGAGACACCCACACCACAAACACACACACACACTCACATTCACTCACACTTAATGCTCCCCCAAGCCTAGCCACCCACAACAATCAGAAAAAATCTGAAGAGAAAAAAAAAAATATATATATATATAATAATAATAATAAAAAGAGAAATAAAGAAAGGAAAACCTCTGCATATATATATGCATACACACTATACAGTACTTACACACATAGTGTACGCAACATTAAGGTACAGAACAGTACATACATGTAGATATGAGGTACATGAGCGCAAGCAAGAGGAGAGCAGGTCCAGAGAAACTAAGTCGAACAGAGAAAGAAAATCAAAAGCAAGAGCAGGCTGTTTGACAATGAGTAAGTAGAGATGATTTAAAGATATGAAAAGAGGTGATAGCTCTAGGTGAGCTAGGTAGGTTATTCCAGTCTGATGGAGCTTTAAATTTAAATGCACGGCGACCAATTTCTTTCCTGATTCTTGGTGTGAGGAAAAATAGATGATCAGTATGCCTTAGGCTATACTGTGAACTGAAAGGGATTAGAAATTGTTTCAAGTACGGAGGAAAATTAAAATAGATACATTTAAAATGTAAATGTGGGACGATATAAGTTTAACCCTACACAGCCTACATACAACTTTATCTTCATTCTCCCAATCAAAATACTTTACTGTTACTTTACATCCAGGTAGTCCTCCCAATGTAAGACCAGTTGAATATTTTGAATATAAAGCAGCAGCAGTAGGACATTTTGACTTTGTGTTGGCAGTAATTCACTACCTCTCTAATACAGTATTAATGATGACATGGAAAGAATAACATGGGATTTAGGAGGATTTCCAACATGCATATGGAAGCAATTTAGAACACATGATGCAGTGGTGGACTCTGATCTAATTATAAAAGTTGATTGAGTCAGTCAAATTTCTTTTTACAATGTTTAAAAACTGCTTGAGTTGAATTAGTAGATGTGAAGGCAGATTGACTGCAGTCTGCCTCAATACCATTTTATGACATGATATAAAACTATGAAATATATATAAAAAAGCGAAACTGATAAAATCCCAATATGGGGATTCATAAAATAGGAAGAAGAATGAAAAAATCTTGGGCATAGACAGACTACAGAGCTAAAGTAAAAGAAAATGATATTACAGGTGAAGAAGAACTTGATGTAGGTAAGAAACAATCCTAGAACCTTTAGAAGCAGAAACTGTTAAGCCTTATCACCTTTGGTTTTGAGCAGCGAGTTAGTTCATGTAAGCCCTTAACAACAAATAGGAAGATTTGAAATGTGTTTGACTGGTTACCTTTGAAACTTAGCCAGAATAGGGAACAGGAGATTTCCAAGGTAAAGTATTGATGGGATAAAAGGTCCTTGTGACAGGGGCCAAATTAGATTTTGGGATGTTGATAAGGTAGTAGATTTCTTTAGTTTCTTTTTCATTCTAAAAAAAAATATATACATGTTATAATGTTATTCTGATAGCATGCACAGTCAGGTGAAAGGTCAGGTAAAACCGTGTGTCATCTGCATAACGGTGAATATAATCGCTTACTTTGTAAAGATGAAGCATGGGTAGTGAGAATAAAAACAACAGAAAATAAGTCAACAAAAGGGGATAAAAGACATCTGGAAATATGGTCAGAGCTTGGTGGATCAATGTGGGACGCAGCTGCATTGGCCGAACTTCACTCAAGTACATTTTCATCTGTTGTGCATGATTCTTTAACTGTGTTCTGTAGCTCTACTCTTAATGGTTGAAGCACTACATTGGATACAGTATCAGCCAACCTCAACACGTAGATTCCTTATCCTCCAACAAGTTGAACTAAACAAACAAACATGTCTTTGTGAGCTGCGGAGTAGATATTCGTTTTCTTGAAACATTGAAGTGTTCATTTGCCTCCCCTCCGCTCCTGCGAGCATCACACTGTTCAACTACAAACAGACAAAGAATTTTGGAGCCGATCTGCTCGACCTTATTGATTTTTTCTCTCTCTCTCTCTCTCTCTCTTTCATCCTCTCTCCCTCCAGACCTCCTAAACGGAGCCCAGGAGAAGTGCGAGCTGCCGCCCATGGATGGTTTTCCTCACTGCGAGGGCAAGGTCAAGGTGAATCACACACGAACTGAAAGAAAGAAAAAACACACAAAAAGACAGCCTCTCCATTTCACTCTTTATCCGACACTGTTTTCACATCTGTGAATAGATCATTTAGAAATGCGTGAAAAGAAAAAGCACGGTAGGTTTTGTGAGCAAGAAAAAAGAGCCAGTGAGTAAAATCCAAGCAACATAAACAGTAAAGAGTAGAGCGTACTACCACTACTGGTAGTAATCTGTATTAGAAATACAGGCCCAGTCCTAGTAGTTTGACATATTGTGATGTCATTGTCTTGGATGGTTTTGAGACACTTGATAGCCCCATAATCTTTTAATTTAAAGGTCACATATTATACTCCTTTTTCAACAAGTTTAAAGAAGTGTCAGAGTACCCCCAAAACATGTCTGTGAAGTTTCTTGCCATCATGTATTTAATCATGTCTAAAAAAAAACCCCTCTATTTCAGCCCTGCTCAGAACAGGCTGTTTCTGTGTCTGTACCTTTAAATATGTAAATGAGCTGTGTCTGACCCCTCTCTGGAAGGGATTGGGTTTCTCGGGCTTTCTCGCTCCATGTCCTATTGTTTACGGTGAGAAAGTCAGACTCAGGGCAGAACGAACACCTAGCTGTGGGAGTGTCACCCACCTGGGGGAGGGGTTACTGCCCTTTGTGATGTCATGAGGGAAAAATCTCCAAACGGCCTGTTTGAGCACACATTTTCTGAAAAGAAGAGGAGGTAAAAGAGGGAGAGGATGGACTTTTCTTAGAATTAGGGGGTTTGTAGACAGGTTAGAGACACTATTAGTGTTAGAAAAACATGCTAAAGTGTATTTTGTAGAATACTGTATTTGACCTTCAATGCTATTGCGATTTAATTTGATTAATGTGAACGACTATGTAAAAATTAGGTCCGTTTCCATAGAGTTCATTTCATTCAAGGGGTACTATGCTCAACAGAGATAAGCAATACAAATAATAAATGCACACACAGATGTAAACACAGCTTCAGTTTTAGTTTTTCTGAGTGTGTTTGGCTGATATGACCCTATCACACACACCATCTGCTTGGCCAGTCTGAAACCTCCACCGATACTGTCAGCACTTCCAACTGGGTGCAGGCGCTGCCAAAGCCTGCTCTGTGCATGAACACACATCCACACAGAGCACACCAATACACCTACAGAACATGATCCTGCTTTAGCTTTTATCATCTCCTCAATCAACTTAAATTCACAAAAACTGTTTTTTAGTATCAGCACACAGTCAGTCACACATTTAAAATCTATTTTCTCCTTTTATGTAAGAATGGGGTTGGGTTTAAAATGTTTTTAGAACAATTTTCATGCCTAAACCCTCCCCATCCCAAATTTCTCTGATTCAAGCCCATCTGCCAGCTCTCGTCTCTATGCACAGCTTTGAAAATGTCTATTTCCTGTGTCCCGCTCCCTTAGGTCACTTTATGTCAGCATGCATGATGTACTCCATCCTGTCAGTCCACATCTCGGCTCAGTGGCTCTTCTACTTTACATGAATTCCAGCCTGTCATTCATGACAGTGCCACACAAATCTGCCCACTAGGAATCAAATCAAATCAATCATTGATAAATGCATCATTATCAAGGATGCATGTTTTAGTCAAGAATGCTGATTTCACATTGATTTATTTCCACACGTTCTCAGAAGAGCTGCTCAGAACGACCTCACTCTTTTGCTCTTGGCAGCTGAGCAGCTCCACTGAATGACTTGCACATGTATTTGATAAAAAGGGAACTTGTCTCCTTAATTCTCAAACCACACATTTTCCATTTGGAACAATGATTCTTAATTCACAATCCTGCTTCTCTGGACCTCTAAGCAACAAAAACAGCCGGGGATATTTTTCATAAGAATAGTAAAAAGTTGACAGTCATCTGGCGCTATAGATCTGCAACTGTGCAGGTATTCCCTCAGCATCCCCACCTTCCCCTCATTCCACAGTAGCTGCTAAATTACATCAACTTGTGTTTTTGCACCCATTCATCATAAACAGACTGAAATGAAGGTCTATTAAAAGTTGTCAATATGACCACTGAAATTCTTTCAACTGTGCTGATAAACCTGAGAGCGGGCTCATATATTTGAGGAGGGTTGATTTATGTGAGAAGGTACAGTATGTCAGGCTGAGATTTCATCTTTCCTTCTACTTCCTTATTTGTCAGTGGATGAAGGAGATGTGGCGCTCAGACTCCTGCTACGGCAACTACGGCGTTGATGGTTCCACCTGCTCTTTCTTCATCTACCTCAGCGAGGTAAGTTCTTTTTGTGGATGTCCATTTGTTTATTACTAGTGTGTGTTTTGTTAAGCTCGCTAAAGTTACCACCAAGCAGGAAAACTGACTTATCACATCATGAATCAATGGTAAACGGTAAATGGACTTGAGCTTGTATAACGCTTTTTCTAATCTTCTAACTACTATGAGACCATCAGAAGTAAGATAATTGACAGGGAATGAGGCGCCTTGTTAGTTTACATATGAAGCAGGAACGTCATATGATTAATTTGAGTTTATAATTATCAACACCCTAGGGTAGAGCCCGGCCGATTTATCTGCCGGCCGATAATATTGGCCGATAATATTAATCGCAGCTATGCGCCGATATTACTAGATTTATTCACCAAATTCGTCAAATAGAATTTCATTTGAGTTTCACTGTATTCAACTAGCAGTTCTCTTTCACCGGCAGAGTGTGTTACATGGATTACAAAGAGCATTAGCATTACCATTAGCATTAGCGAGTGTCATTTCCATTTGAGTGGCCATCTTGTCTACGTTATACTGTGTATCTTTTCCACAAGTGTTTGATTAAATGTGAATACCTAAATCTAGATCGAACATAAATCTAAGAGAGAAATTGGCCGATATATCAGTATTGGATTTTTTCCCCCCTTCCCCAATAGCATTATCAGTATCGGCTACAAATCTCATATCGGTCGCACCGCTCTTTAAGGCCTCTTGATTTGATCACGTATCAACACATTAACATTGACAGCCCTAGTAAAAAAAAGGTACAGGTAGTATTACATCTGATGGAGTCTAGGTGTGTCGTATACATAATGACGCGTCATGTGACCACACTAAGCTGCACTAGCAGAACCCTCAGAAGGGATTGTCGACAGAAGTCTAGTTTGCATAAAAAACACATATTTTGACATTTTCTCTCTCTATGTTAAAGTGAAGATGAAGACTGTATTGATCCCCCATTTGGGGATATTGGGATGTGTACAACTCCTTTAAGGCGAGCATGTGTGGACAAAATATTGTTTTTTCTTCTTTAAAGCTACAATTTCAGAAAAAATCTCTCCATTATTTGACGTGGGGTTTTCAGAAAGCCACATATTTTGATCTTGGAAACACGTGCTTTAACATCTTATTACCATGTCCCCTGGTATCCTTCTGTGAGTGTAGAAGTAGAGTATTAAAAGACAGCTGCGTCATACCAGCACAGAAAACCTAAATAATGGAGGGTTCAGAGCAACAGCCCTCCCTGCAACATTCCTTCTACCTGAGAGCGATCACAGAAGAATGAAGCGCTAAAAATAACAGCAAAGGAGCGAGGTAGAGAGGGGGTGGGGGGGGGTTCATTTTTAATGAGAGCAAATTAGAGCGGGCTGCGTAGGAGGGTGTGGGAGAAAGTGGAGATGATTCAGTGGGAAGGGAGGGAGCGGTGGTATGAGCTTCTTCATGAAGAGATGAGTTTTCAGCCTCGAAGGCAAAGGCAGGACTTTGAATGGCTTTTCTACCCTGTCGTGGTCCATCGGTGTGTTTTTGGCTAACAGGGAAAAAATAGCCTAAAGGAATGGAAAGCATTCATTGATTGTGTTTCAGAGAGTTTGCAAAGCAAGTCAACATGACCAGATTTCACCACAACTTAAAGAAAAACAGTCGTGCTGTTAACTTCAATGATGTCTTTGTAATGATTCTTTTTTGATCCCTCAAAGTTTTGGATATGATGCACAAATCTTGCAACACTAATGGCTACCAAATTTATACTATTTTTTTTGCTGTATGTATGTCAATAAGTGGATGTTTTCTATTGAAAGCACTGTATTAACAAATTGTGTTTACTTACTTACCTCTCACCGGAAGTTAATATAAGTCATAAACTGTAAATGAGAGTGGACAAAGCATGAGTGACGTCATTTAAGGGGATGGTAGCCCATCGATGGCGGCGGCTGCCATATTGGAAATGCTTTTTCAATCTCACATTCAATCAACTAACGAGCGGCAAAGAGCTGGAGCTGAGGCGGGGCTTAAGCCTCCTGACAAACACCCAACACATCACTAAGGCCTAATAACAAATGACTCTTATCCTTCATAAAATCTAAAAGGATGACTTCAGCATTGGCTCCATTTTTCAACACCTGAGATTGCTGCTTGGTTGAAGTCGATTTTTCCAATATGGAGTATGCATCATTTGGCTTCATATCGCCTCTTCAGAAACCAATGGGTGAAGTCACTGTGACCTTGTCCATATTTCATACAGTCTATAATTCACACCCAATAATGTGCTGCTCACTGAGAGCATTGTTTTACATGGAGTTAGATTTGAACAATGTTGCTCAGTGTTTGCCGTATATTGTGGTCGTACCAGAACATAGAGCGAGGCGGACTTGATAGAAAGTGCTACCCCAAAACTTCTAAGAAAAGAGCTCCTCTTCCTCTTTTGTTTTTAGAAACTCTGCTAATGGAAGAAGAAAAAAATAAGATTTCTATCATGGCTTTGGCTCTGGAGAGGTCAGTTCCCCCGTTATGAATATTGTATTCAAGCTGAGAGCGTTTTCAGGGGAACTAATATAGAACACAGAAAGCCTTGCCCGCTCTGTATAGAAATAGACGAGCGATGTCAGATCCATTAGGAGGAGAGAAAACCTTTTCTTTTCTTTGTTCACGTCTGTCGAGTACTCCCATCAAACAGGAAAACAAACACACCAACACATTTGCTTTTGCTTTACATCTCTCTGGAAGTTTCCATCCTGCTGATCCAACAGCCTCTCCTGGGTCATGTGGTACAGCGGTTGCCATGGCAATAGGCATGTATTTCCATTCGGAAAACGGCTGCGATCCGTCTCTCCGTCCATTGTGGTCCGTTCTTTTTTTTTTTTTTTTTTTCTTTCGGAAAACACAAACACAGCCTGGCTTCCACCATGTTTAATTCATGCTCGTCCGCCACAGCATTAACCTTGCAAAGGGGGGGCAAACCACAGAGGGCAGCATATCATGATAGATGTCAACTGCAGAAGGTCAGGCTTGAGCTTCCATGATTCGTGTGTGTTGTGGTTTTAGGATGAGTAAAAAAACACACACCTTTCAGTTAGTCTATTGTTGCTAAGAGAGGCAGAACACACACACACACACACACACACACACACACACACACACACACACACACACACACAGCTCTTCTCCTGAAGCCTCTCAGTGGTCAAACAACAATCATGATCGATTTAAGAGGAAGCAAATGCTGAAAGAGGGAAGCAGAAAATGAGGATGTGTACAATTCAACAAGGGGGGGGAAATTAAAAAAATGGCGGCAGTGTCTCATCAAATTGCACACGGACAAAAAGTCAGACTGGAGCTGTGTTGAAACAATGAGCGACAGACACTGACTCCGCGAGGCAGCATCTGACAATGAAGTGCTGCAGCGACGGCGAGCAAATTAAAAGATGAATCACAAATGAAGTTCTCTTGTTCGGCACAGAAATATCTCCACGCAGGAGGGAATCCACTCCAACAGTTCAGATTGTTTTGTCTTTGACCCAAATTCCCAAGTTCATTTGCAGAACTCACTCAACGTGTCAAACAGCCTGGAATCCAAACTTCAAATGCACTTTATACACAATCAAATGTACTACAAATATTTGCACCCTTGGCAGTCATCTGCAGCAGGCATTGTGTTCTTATTTCAGGAAGTCTAAATAGTGTTTTTTTCATAGGTGGAGAACTGGTGTCCTCGCCTTCCCTGGAGGACAAAGACCATAGCCCAAGAAATCGACAGGAGAGGACAGGTGAGAAACGTCCTTCAGCAGGCTTTGAAATGGAAACTTAAAGCACTATTGATGCTTTTAATTCCCCCCCCCACCCCACCCCCAAGCCTACTGCATTCAAGCAAGCTCGGGTTACCCCTCTGCTCAAAATACCCACACTCAAGCCAGCCCAGGTTGAAAACTACAGACCGGTTCAACTTCTCCATACTGGCAGATCAAACCCCTGAAGATGATCCAAAACGAATCAGCACAACAGCTCATGTCTCATGATCTTCAAAACAGGGTCCTAGACTCTTCTCCTCTGTCGCCCCCTGGTGGTGGAACGAACTACCAAATCTCCATTTGATCTCCGGAGCCCCTTTTACACCTTTAAGAAAAACCTTAAGACCCCCTACACACTTAATGATATTGATGATGTGGACGATATTTTAGGTGGCTTTGGTGCTGATTAGAAGTCTCAAGAAGAGCTATTGATGTTTTGCTTTGCTGCCTGTCAGCACCTGAGTGTGCGATCGGTCTTAAAGCTTTTAGTTTTGCCCTTAATGTAGTTGTTTCCTCCTCTCTAGATCCTTGCTCGTGTTCTTAATCTCTGATGTTTGTCGGATAAATGAATTGTAGAACTGTAGATTGGGGGTGTCAGATTAGATTTTACAAGTGTCAAAGTTTGCATCTAAGTGACTGTATTGGAAATAATAAGACATGGTTGTTGTGACATCTTACAAAATGGGATTGACTTCTTCTCGGGGTCTAGACTTTGAAATGCTAATATTCATTCTATCAGTCACAACTACAGTGCCAGGGGGGGAGACAGGGCGATCGTCCGGAACAAAGTGGCTCAATAAGTGACAAATTGAGGGGGAGTTAATGACGCCTGTTTTAAGATGTTTATAGATGCAGCAGAGCCGTTAAAACACTTGTCAAGCAGATATATAGTGTGAGGAACAGTGTCCACCTAGCATTTTTTAAACGGAGCGCTGGCGGTATTTTAAATTGTTTGTTTTCATTGAGCAGCAGCAAGTGGCCGCCCAGAACAACCCCCCCCCCCCCCCGCTCTTGTCAAATTATACGATATTCCCCATGTTTTTGACTTTTACCTTCTACCGACATCCTCCTTGCTCCGAGTCCAGACAGAGTACGAGGGCAGAGTACTTGAAGTCCTTAATGTGGAGACACATGTATTGCCATGATGCCATGTAATATTTATTTTTTAAGAAACACTATAGTGTGATCAAACATCAGTAACTGTGCAGGACGTTTTTGCCCTCTCAATGTTCAAAAAATGAGCAAGCAGGCTGAAGCGGATCCCACGGTGTCGACGTGCCTCAGTGGCATGTGAAATGAAAGAGTCGATCAGTTCTCATAGAGCGAAGCCGGAGTGACGGGACCTTGGGACAAATCTGGAATAATTATCTTCTATCCCCTGCCAATGCGGCAGCTCACTCAAATCCCACTTAGAGCGCTTCTTCTCCGGGGCGGGCAGGCGACTTCACAGTCCACCTCAGCCCCGCTCCCTGTGCTGCGGGTGAATCAATATTAAGCACTCTTCATCCCCTTTCGCTGGATGCATCAACAGCCGCTGAGCCCTCCGTGGTGGGGGGGAGGGAGGCCATTTGACAGGCTTTGGAGATTTTAATTCAGGGCCCCAGATTTTAATAGGTTGAGTCTGTGGGAGTGATTTCCTGTCGTGATGAGGGATGCTAATGCCTCGCAACGGCCCCGTTTTCAGCCACCTTAGCAGCTGGTAATGGCACTGTGGTTTCTCCTTTGCTCGATTTGTCTTCCTCTCGCCGACGCCGGCCAAATCACGGCTTCACGTTCTTATTTTCAGGCTTATCATGAGTCAAGTTCAACATCTGTAATATTAAATGTAAAGTTTTAGTATTTCACCTCATAATCCTCTTTAATGTTATGTCCTCTCCTCTCCTCTCCTCTTCTCTGTCCTCTCCTCTCCTCTCCAGATTTACTCCTCAGTTTCTTTCTCAAAGGAGAGATCTCAAACACACGCTGTCAGTACAAAAGCCCATTTTTAGCTTCCCATGATGTATCATTTTCTTTTGGGATTTATCTGATGCTTTATCGTGGTTGTTATCCATTCAACAGAATCCTTTTTACTCCAGCTTGAGTGATTATTGAGAGCTTTCTGAGAAAAAAAATAGTACACATAGAAGTTAAAAAACATCCAGACATTATCTTTAACCCTTTCCTGTTCTGTCTCTCTCCATTTAATGTATCTGCAAATCTAAGGTGTGGACTGGAGAAATCCTTGTCACTTAGCTTTATCACTACAGCTCTTCTCAACGCGTCTTCTTCCAAGAGTAGAGCCCTAGGCCGTTTGGAAAGTTGTCAATATTGAGATTTGAAATACGATTGGATTAATTTTTAAAGATCCCTCTGGGTATGCATCATGGGAGGAGCAGAAAGTGATCAAATCAGTTGGAAGAAAAATCTGTTTTTTGAAGGTAAAGGAAGCAAACAACAGGATAATAAATCAGTTTGAGTTGAAGCGTATACACTGTGACTATGCATGTATGGAGATGAAATGTTCTTACTGGCTGTATGCCGTTTGAAACGGCAGAACAGAGCAGAAGCGTCAAAAAGACAGACATGCATGTGAGGTTGCCTTGGATATAGCATTCTGGTACACCTCTGCTTTTTTTTCTCTTTAACTCTTACTTTCTTACTGTTTTTTCTTACTGTTCTTTTCTTGTTGTGCGTGTGCGCGTGTGCAGGCCGAGATCCGCACCAGCTTCAACGAGCTCTACCGCGTGATGTCACAGCGCGAGGAGTTCCGCTGGATGATGCTGAGGATCAAGCGCATGGCTGAGCCGTGGGTCAGTGCCATCCGCTCGCTGGCTGCCAAGCAGAACCTGGCCAGGCGACGGAGGAAGAAGAAGGTGGGAATAGCATGCTGCAGTAAATCCTGGCACACCCGAGAAAGGAAGTGAGACGGAATCAATGAGGCAGTCGGTTGTATGACATGCATTTGGACGCTATTTAGTAGACATATTGCTGCTACATAAATGCTTGTTTGTTTTATCACAGCTGCACTTTTATTTAAACAAAAAAAAACGTTCAGTTGGCCATTTCCACTCTTCCAGAGTATTTTTCAGGTAAATTAATCTCACACACCAAAATATTACATGAAAACTTAAAGCTACTATGAGAATTTTTTAGCTCTTCATGAAACAGACTGAAATAAATGTTGATGCCTCTTTACGACCTGCAAAAGCCAACAGAACCATAATTGACAAGATGAACTATTTCTATGAAGTTATTTTTAATGCCTGAAAGCACTGGTGTGGGGTAGGTGTCAGTTACAGCACGCTGCCTGAACAGACTTTTTTTTTTTTTTTTATTGGATAAGATTCTTTGAGTATCACCTTTTTATGTTAAGCAAATTGCTGATTTGGGCCTCTATATGTTTTTTTTTCTCTCAAAGAGATAAGGGGTATGTTTTGTCCACAGGGGGCGCCAAAATCAACGCAAACCAAAAGTTCCTCAGAGGAGCTTTAAAGGAAAAATGTGCGACATTTTACACATCAATATAGTAAATCTCATGTCAATATCTCTCTGAGTCATGACTATCGACAATGAGTGGGAAGCTCGAGTCCCGCTGGCTGTGTTGTTGTCGGAGCCGTGTTTACATGGACGGGACGCCTGATTCCTCCCCTTGTGTATAAAAACAGTTTTAGTCACAACTAGAGAAAATAGGAATCATTGCTTATTTTTTTAGATAACAGTCATTCTGAGTATGTCGTCATGCAATGTGAAGTTACAAACTAACTTCAGTGCGCTAACATTAGCATGCTAGCACAACAATGCAGTTCACAGGCAGCTATAGCTACGGTCAATTTCGTCCGCTTTTACCCCTTCCTGTGAACGCGAGGGGAGGTGGTCGGTGATGTGCTGTGGGAGGAGAGTGGAGGCTTCAGTATGGTCAAACAAGCAGTTTGTTTTGGTTTCATGCTGGTGCTGAAGGACGACATCTACTGGAGGAAAAAAAATCACACATTCCTAATTTTAGTGACAGCTTTAACCCTAACCCTAATATTTCAAATAGTCTTGTATTATTACTTAAATCAGCTATGACACACTCTCAACCACAGTAACAGGAAAAAAAGCTAAATTATAGAAGTGCAGCTCCCTTTTGTAGAAGTCAAAAAAATATCGCGCCTGAATATAAATAGAGCTTGAATTTTATTGCTCATCTTCCTGGAGTAGGAGAAAAGTAACCCTGTCAAAAACTTTCTGAAAACAGCTCCTTAGCCTGCACAATTTCATGCCCTAGGTAGACACACACACTCACACTCACTCAAACACACACTTATTCACACTTGTTGAGCGCCCCCACTTTTGCCCAGGGGAGAGATGGCAGTGGTAGACGACTGACATGGATATTCAATTGTGTCCCAAGCTGGCAGCAGCTCCCAGCACTGAATAATGTACTCCACACTTTCCAAACCGGCCTTGTGAATAATTCACTTCCCATTCCCATGATACCTTGGTGCTGATGCAAAGCAGCATCCCCCAGCAGCAACGCAGGAGGATGCAAGAAGAAACCAGAACCTGTATCCAGCCATCTGTTTATCTATCTTTAACGTCCTACCTATCCACCTCCTCGGTCTTCTGTTTCTCTGTTTAATCTATTCAGCATATAATTAAACACCCTGTTCTTAGTCCAGATACATTCAAAGCCAGGTTTTTATTTCAGCCGCTAATCTCTTTTGGATATTAATCCGCACATATTAATCCGTCACTGGTGTGTTCTGGGACTGAGGCTGGCTGTCATAAATGAAAAATGCGTCGGTCACTTCAAACAAAGCCGTCTATTACTTCCTACACTTTCTGCAGAACACAGTGTTCCCCCTCAGCAACTGAAAATCCACTGTGAGTGTGTGTGTGGTCATATTTAAGTGAAGTTGCATGTTTCTCCAAGCTCCAAGTACTGTGCACCTAATAGAGTGCAGGGGGGAAAAGTTGAACATATGATTCATATTTTGTACCCTTTTTCCCTTCCATCAGGTCCTGGTGCATCTGGGCCTGCTCACCAAGGAGTCGGGCTTCAAGATCGCAGAAAACGCCTTCAGCGGCGGCCCATTGGGAGAGCTGGTCCAATGGAGCGACCTCATAACGACGCTGTACCTGCTGGGTCACGATGTTCGCATCTCGGCCTCGCTGGCTGAGCTCAAAGAGTCAGTACCAATGACGATGAATTTTTAGCTGTTTTGTTACATGGAATTAAATTGATATAGTTGCCTCTGTGACCAGGCCACCCCCTTGTAGCGTCCATACAGCTAGGCCATGTGCACCCCAAAAGAATGATTTCTTTATAGTAATTAATAGTATGCAAACACTGCTGCAGGCTAGGTGTCAAAACAGAATGTGTTGACATTTTCCACAGTAAAGATTGACTGTTAAAAGAAAGTAGGATGAGATTCTTGTCAGAAATCAGAAGAGATAAAAGTTTGTCCACAGGGGGCGCCAAAACTGACACAAACCAAACACTCCTCACAGGAGCTCTAAAGAAGGATTTGAAGGTTCTGTATACTTTAGTGTTTTCCTTCTCAAGGTTAACCACTCTTATAATATTGTTTGCAATGACCAAAGAAACCATTCCGCACCATCTTTGTTTGCGTTTGGTTATAGGCAAATTCAATCGGGCCCTGGAGTCAAAGCGGCACCTTACTTTTAATCCTTTTTTTTTGTTTGTTCATTTGCATAAACAAACAACCTCACAGTACCAGGTTGTTTGACTAAGGGTAACCAAATGAAGCTCCTGTGGGTTGGCGGTTTGCTAACTCTGTACTGTATCCACATCAGGGGTGACATTAGGTCAAATTTATCCCGGCCTTTAGCTTCCTTGTTATACCCTCACTATGAAAAGAGTATAAATTATTAAAATGAGTAGAATAAATGAATAAAAATCTACTACAAAAAGATTTTGAAAGGTTTCAGATACAATTTCTAAAACAGCCAAAAGGTCAAAGTGCATTGACCTCAAGTAGATGTTGTATCTTGTTCAACATATCTGACCTAACAGTAAATGGTTAAAAGGATCGTCTCCAGTTAGCTAACCTGCCAACTTGCTAATTTTTCGTAAAGGTCACACATATGCAAAATACCCTTTACCATGTTCCTCTAACTCTAACATGTGTCCCTAATCGGTCTACAAACCCCCCAGTTAAAAGAAAAGTCCATCTTCTCCGTCTTTTCCCTGCTCCACTTTTCAGAAAATGTTTGCTCAAACAGGCTGTTTGGAGATTTTCCCTTCATGACATCACAAAGGGCAGTAGCCCCTCCCCCAGGTGGGTGACACTCCCACAGCTAGGTGTTTGTTCTGCCTTCTGAGTCTGCCTTCTCACCATAAACAATAGGACATGGAGCGAGAAAGACGAGACACCCAAGCCCTTCCAGAGGGGGGGCGTGGTCAGACACAGCTCATTTACATATTTAAAGGTACATACACAGAAACAGCCTGTTCTGAGCAGGGCTGAAATAGAGGGGTTTAAAGACATGATCAAATACAGGATCAGAGTGTATTTTTATTAAGAAACTTCACACACATGTTTTGAGGAGCTCTGAGATTTATTTACACTGAAGAAGAGGAGGAGAATATGTGACCTTCAAAAGAGCTTTGAAGTAAAATAACTCCAGTTTCTCCACCCTTAGGATCATGCGCAAGGTCATGGGGAACAAGTCCAGCTGCCCGACCCAGGGCGACAAAATCGTGGAGCTCATCTACATCGACATTGTAGGCCTCACCCAGTTTAAGAAGACACTGGGACCTGCCTGGGTCCACTACCAGTAAGTGCGTCAATGTTTTAATGAACCTGAAAATGTATGTTGTTGATCAGCATGTCACTGTAGCACTATTCAGACGTCTGTTTCAAGCCTCGACATTTACTCAGTCTGTGATGTTCAGCCTTCAGTCTGGTTGTCCTGTTGGACCAATGGGGGGGACGAAGTGACATTCTGTTGTTGTGCAGCGCTAGCAGGAAATTAGCACCACCTCCCCCTCCTGCTCCATTGCAGTTGATTTTCCTGCTGCGTTTTCAAATCAGCTCACCACCGCCTTCAAGCAGATAATTAACTACGGAGGCCTGGAGGGAAAAAAAATCCTGAGTCAAACCGAAAAACTTCAGGAGGTTTTTCAGGAGTTTTGTGCATGTGTGAAAGCACTCCTTCAGTCAAACTCTTCAAGGTCTGCACAATAAGAAAAACCTTCTCATTGTGTCGGGCAGTCAAGCCAGTGACTAGAAGGCTCTGCCAAATCAACACAAATTGAAACGATTGGCTGCTGTGTTCAGATTTTTATCAGTTATTTATCCAGGCAGGTTTTTTGCTTCGTCTCTTTCAAAACCTTGCTTTTGGCAGTTAATTATCTTGCACTGTTTCTCTTTGTTTGAGCTAGGACCTTCCTCTTTTTACTGTCCTCAAAGTCACTCGTCTAATTCAGTCATTTGTACAGTTCTTTCTAACACTTCCCCCCCCTCCCTCCCCCCGTGCTGCAAACTGTGGTTTAACAGCTTCTCGAGGTCGAGGCCTGTCTGGCACTCGGTGTGACAGCGGGTCTATTTTATGCTCGTACATTACCGCAAAACTCCCAAAAGGCCGCAGTAACGTCTGATATTTTTCAGCTGCCAAGTCTGATCGCTCCGCCGAGGACTGCATATGAGACGTTCCTGGATTGTTTTTGAATAAAAGCTCAGACAGGAAAAGAGAAGGAACAATAAGTCTGGGGGGCACTAATGGCCCCGCTGGTTCCTCTTCCTTGTCACCAGGCTTTCTTTGTCTGCGACATAACACCTCATACTGCATCCGCTCCCTTTGTGCCCCGAGGAAATTGATTCAGCCTCCGAGCGTAATGTAAGGTCCAGATGCTGTTTTCTGTATTATTTCAGATCGCTTATGTCAGACCTCGGACTAGGAGCTTTGTGGAGAAAAAAAAGGACCTTGACTGCAGTTTGAGCCTGTACATTTTTAAGTTTCTCCCTTTACTAATTATAACCCCGTCAGGTCCCCCTGCTTAGCCTTTCTGTCAACTTGACTTCTCCTTTCCTGTAAATGAGGCCTGAGAATCCTTTTTTGTGAAAGCTTTCAATCGTCTCTTTGTCAGCGAGAAAACACATCCAATGGGCTGAATATGCCAGATTTGTTTGCACATCACTCCAAATAAAAAAAAAAAAGCTGCGGAAACAATAAACTGTGTCGATATTGTTCCTGTTTTTCTAGGTTGTTGTTTTTTTTATTATGCGTTAAGCGACAAAGCAACCAAGCCTGTCAGGCCCATTTATGAGTAATGTGTTTTGTTATTTCCCCAGTCTCTTTGCAAGCTCTCTTCCAGCACTGTATCACACTACTCCAGAGGAGTGGGAATACTCTCAGCTATTGTTTTCGGGGGTATAAACTTGAGCCAATGATTCCCTGTTGTTCTATTTCATTTAATCCTCTCATCCAATAACCTAATCTCGGCAGTGCAATGTCAAAGACTGCAGAGAGTCTGAAGCAGTTCTGCATTTTCTGGTGATGACTGAAATACAGAAATGCTTCACATCCCTTCTCTGGCTGTCTTATCTTTTGCCAAGAACTTTGTTTTGACTTTACACTTCAGGTATGCAAAGCTCGCACATGGTTGTGTACTTCTCGTCTACTGTGTTTATTTATCTACACAGGCGGTCTATTGTTGGGTTGATGTCAGTCCGCAGTGATCACATGTAAAAGCTCATGTTTTTGTCAGATATGGAAGAAAACTTTTATAGACCTTGAGCTCTCAGTTCCAGCATTGTTGTGCGGTAAATGGTGATAACTTTGCCAGCACAAACTGTTTGAAAAAGGGGGTCTTTCACTGAATCCCTCAGGCTAAATTATGCTTCACTTCCACTCGGGATGGCTGTGGCTCAGTGAGTTAATCATCTCTCAACCGGCAGGTCAGGGGTTCGATCCCCAGCTCCTTCAGCCACATGTCCGATGTGTCCTCGGGCAAGACACTTAACCCCTAGATTCTAACGCTGCTTTTGTAGCGTCTGAATGTGTATGAATGGACAAATGAATGACAGATGCCATCCATTGACTTTATATAAATATGGACAAAGCATCTCAGTCTCCTTTTGTTGTAAGAAGAAAAGTGAAGCCAAACTACCCCCTGCGACAGGCGCTGACATAATGCACTGAAATATGCAAATTACCGTTGTGTGTTATGATTCAATAATAAATTAGGCTAAAGCTGCTTCTCTTAACACATTTGAGACACTATTTGAGACTAGGGCTGGGCGATATGATGAAAATGTTCATATCAGTCGATATCGTAATTATCGCAATAACTGTTGAATCTTTCTTTTCAATTTAAAGGCTGGTTTTTGCTCCTGAGTGAACATTTCCATTCCCCTCCTAAACATCTGTAAGCCTACATATCCATCTCCCTGTGACATGATTGGCAGTTTGTCAACTTTTCTTCTTCTCTTTTTCATTAAAGATGCTTTAACGCCCCCCTTCCCCAGTGTTTGGATGCTGTAACTACAGGTTTAAATCTATCAAACTTTCATCGAACATTTCTTATATCTATATTGATATCGCTATAATAATCCTATCACTTTATCTCCCAGAGCTATCTGAGCTATTAAGCGCACCTATAACTGCATTGCTTTAGCTAGCTAGTAAGCTATGCTAATATTTCTCCTAAGGATGCTGCAGGTGCTCCATTGGCTGCAAGACAAGACAAGGGATTTAAGTCAATCAATCAATCAAAATAATAAAAGTGAGCAATCTGAAATCTCAAATGATTTGAACAAGTTGAAGTACAATGAAGTTTAAGAGCTTATCAACCATTTTATCATTGCTGATTTATCGCTATTTGATAACAGAGTTCATGCCAAAGTCCTTAGAATGCATCACCAATGAAATACTTCATTAGATGGATGACAATCCCAATAAAATAATCAATAACATATCCCAGAATATTGCTCCCCCATGGTGTCCTCGTGAAGTCTGTGGGCAGTAATTCAGCCCAATGACAGCTCGTCAACTCATTTTCTGTTTCATCATCCAGCTGTTGTGTTTCCCCTCAGGGACCAGAACAGACCCCTTGAATAGATTCATGTATAACAGAGATTCCCTCATCTGATACCACTGATCCTTAACGACCCATGTGGATCCGTTTTGTTAGTTGCTAATGTCTCATGGGAGAAGAGGAACTTTTTGTTATGCATTAACCATATGGAGTAACTTCAGTCGGATTCTGTGAAAATACACTTTTACTTGGAAGCTACATCCCCCACTCGGCATTGCGCTCGATTGTTACGCCGCAGCAAGGTGTCACTAAGTGCGCACTTGTTGAGCTGGAAAGCGTCAGCTCCTGCCACATTAGGACTCCCACTCCCACTTGGACTTGGCCTCGCTGCAGCCGCGTCTACATCATGTTATGACTCCAACAGCACTCCCCCATCTGTTGAGGATGCATCTACTGGGGACAGGAGACAGGGTTGTTTTTCTCCAGAGTGAGTGGAGATGGCATGTTGTTGTTGTTCTGCTTTCTGTCTAAAGTTTCCTTATGGTGAATGTGTTTCCCAGCTCTCCCTGGGCCTTTTACCATTCACACAGCCAGCTGCGGCTGCTCAGCATCTGCCCGGGGGCGCTGAGACGGTTGCTAAGAGGGGAGGGATGGTTTCTAGATGCAGATGTCTTGTGTGTGGAAATGTGTCTGTGTACACCTGGCTCCCTCCCATTACTGTATGATTAATGCAGAGTATTCTACCGTGAACTCCAAAGTGGGAGTCGCTTAATTTAATTTCCCCCACAAGAAAATAATGTTCCTCGGCTCAGGTTTGCAAGAAGAAAAATAATTTAAGGATTAGAAGTGCTTGGAATTAAGAGACACATTTAGTAATTTTGGGGCCGAGTCAACATGTTAAAAAATGGCATTCAAAGAGACAAAAACGGACAGGGTATATAAAACATGATCAAAGCAGAAGTGAGTGAATGCAGTGCATAGAGTTCCTCTAGTTTGGGTTTAATTAATTCTATGCAGTGACCTATGACTCAGCTCACAGTCTCACACCTCCACCGGAGCGGATCTCTCAGTCTGAGATGGAGCTACTATTGTTCAGTTTCATGATCCTCTATGGAGCTGTTTGATATTTTACACAATGATGAATTAACTTTTCTTCAAGTATTTATTTTCTACTACTATCTATGCCTTCATTCTTAATACTAAGGCTCAGACCAATATGGGATTTTTGGGGTAGATACCGATATGGATACTGGGATATATCTTTCTTAGCTCTATATTCAATCTGTAGAGATAGATGAATATAGATTTACACATTTATTGCTTTGATACCTTAAATGGAGTTATCAAACACTTGTGGGAAAGATGTAGTACAGTATAACAATGACAAGATGGCCACTCAACTGGAAAGTAACTGTGCATGTATGCGTGCCTCACCGCTTGACACTCTGGAGATGATGATGCTTGTTGTGATCCATATAGCACCCTCTGCTGGTGACCAAGAACTGCTGGTGTCACACAATGAAACTTTAATGATATGCTATCTGACTGGTGATTAAATATTGTAATATTTTGCAATAAAATTAGCCGATACTGATAGCTACTGGATATTCTAATATCGGCCGATATTATCGGCTGGCCAATTTATCGGTCGGGCTCAACTACAGGCCATGAAATTCACAACATAAACATGTAATAATTAACAAAGATATAACTTATTTCTCATCAGTGAACCCCATGCATAATTTTACACTATTTAAGCATTCTCAAGATGAAAAAAACATTGTGATTGTTTCTTATTTGAGCTAAAAGCTAAGCTAAGCACACTACTTTCCATTTACTGTAGGAACAACAACAAGTTTACAAACTGGACTTAGACTTGTAAGTTTGTGTGTGAGGACTGAGTCTTGTGGTCATGTACGATCTTGCTCTTCCTGTTTTTATTTCATTGTACAATAGTTCATATCCTGTACTGTTCTGGCTTTTAATCTTGTGCTTGTTTGGTTCTGTTTTTTTCTGTATCTGTTGTTGAGTTTGATGCATTTTAAAGGCCCATCTAGGGACGGCCATTGCAAGTTAGCTTTGGCTTTAAATGCTGTATTGTGTGTTATCACTTTCGTTCCTTTCACTAAACAAAAATGGAATATCTGTAAGCTTGTTTTTTGGACTGCTATGTGGAGAAGAGTAAAAAAAATTGTTTCACTCTAGCTCCATTTTTCCTGTTGCTATGAACCTGTACACAAGGTGCAAGCAGATTTTCTTGCAGTGGATAAAACAACACTGAGTCTCTTTGTGTAGAGATGATTTACAATGTTGTTTCCTTTGCAAGCTAAAAGCAAACGTAATTGAAGTACACACTATGGCATTAAAGAAAAACTTGTTTTTTTTAGCTGCTCGTACTCATACTTGTTGTTGTGTGACGTCCCAGGTGCATGTTGCGGGTGCTGGATTCATTCGGAACGGAGCCAGAGTTCAACCATGCCCACTACGCCCAGTCCAAGGGTCACAAGACGCCCTGGGGGAAGTGGAACCTCAACCCGCAGCAGTTCAACACCATGTTTCGTAAGTCGGCCAACACACACTCTCTCCTGCCAAGGAAGGCTTCATTAACCCTCACTGAAAGCTTCAGCTCTGAGGGTTTGAGTATGAACTGTTTATGTCAGTTTATACATTCAAAACCAGCACTGAAGAATTTGATGGTTGATTTATTCTCTTGAGTCAACAAGCTGCAAAAGAATCCCTGCTGTCCCAAAAAGAACAGAATACAGCCTTAATGTTGGGACGTTGTGTAAACTGTATTTAAAAACAGAATGTGATGGGGGGCTGGTGGCCTAGTGGTTATAGTCCTTGTCGTTGTGGCCTTGGGTTAAAATCTGACCTCGGCCCTTTGCTGTACGACGTCCCCCGCTCTCTTCTCCCAACTGTCGCTGGGCAAAAATGTCCCAAAAATATCTTTAAAAAATAATGATTCTCAACTGAAACGTCATATTTATTTGATCACAACGGCAACATATCAAATGTTGCAACTGAGAGATGTTTTTTTGCTTTTGGAAAATAATGTACCCATTAAAAATTGGATGCCAGCAGCACATTTCAAAGAAGCTGGGACTGAAGAGACCAGTTTCTGTCAGTTTGAGAGAAGATTTGTTGTCCTATTCTTGCTTGATGTAGGATTTTAGATGTTCAAAAGTTTGGGCTCTCCCTTTGAAGTTTTTTGCCCAGCCTTCCTGCAACATAAATTATAGAGCTGAATAAACAGGTCATCATGGGTGGTGCAATACAGCTCTTTGTTGTTTGTAGTGGAATTTCAGTTCAGGGTTTCTTTCTCAATAGTCCAGAGTATGAAGAGAGGCTGGGGATAGACCCCTGGTACTATATCAGGTGACCTCAGGTACATGTCAGTCTCAATCTAACTCCTATTCATGGAGATTTCAAATGTGGCATTCACAGAGTTATTTACATACACCTTGAATAACTCACAGAAAACAGGAAAAAGGGAGAAAAGGTAATTGTGCACCAAGTATTTCCTTTCTATGTTCATAGTAGTTAAAGGTCACATAGTATGCAAAATACACTTTACCCTGTTTTTTTTATAACACTAATGGTGTCCATAGCCTGACAAAAAAAAACACAATTATGAGGAAAAGTTCATCCGCTCCTTATTTTCCCTGCTCCACTTTTCAGAAAATGTGTGCTCGAACAGGCCGTTTGGAGATTTTGGCAGTAGCCCCTCCCCCAGGTGGGTGACACTCCCACAGCTAGGTGTTTGTTCTTCCCTCTGAGTGTGCCTTCTCACTGTAAATAATAGGACATGGAGCGAGAAAGTCTGAGCCACGTCCCCCGAGAGAGGGGGCGTGCTCAGACACAGCTCATTTACATATTTAAAGGTACAGACACAGAAACAGCCTGTTCTGAGCAGGGCTGAAATAGAGGGGTTTAAAGGCCTGCCTACTTACAGTTTAAATCAGTTTTCACAATCATTACACAATAAACTGTTTCCTATTTCCTCATTCTACTTATATTTTCTCCTTTAAATTCAAGTTTTGGGTTAGAAAAGAGACATAGAAGACACTTTTTCCATGGGAAAAAACAGCACTTTGCTTGGCTAATGGAATATAATCAAGCAGATTAAAGGGAAGGGAGGTCAGACACTCAGCTCTCCCATTTTCCTGTGATTATAAATGTAGGACGTAGGGGGTTTATTACTCCGTGTGTGCACCACTCCCGCTGCGACATCACTCTGTAACTGGAGTCAACCGCATTTGCCGGGGTGGATGAGCGGTGGTGGTTCAGCAGAAGGCAGAGAGGGGAGCCAGGCCCCCCTCGGGTATTGACCTTTTCCCCGTGGCTAAGAGAAAGTGAAATGTTACCCCTGCAGTCCCCCGTTTGTGAGTTATCCAGAGTACTACTGCACCTGAATAGGCCTTTTGTCCGCTGATAGGGTATGTCTTTCTCACAACACACAAGGGGCTTTACAAAGAAATCCAGTTAAGAGTCGTTAGGTTAGATGATATCGCTGGTGAAACAAGTGCACAGCGGTTTGGACGAGTGCTACAACTGCAGAATGGCAACACTTCCAGGCACAGGAGATGACAAAAACCTTCTTTTTTTTCACTCTGGGTTCACTCTGCATGCACTGCATCTCAACTTTTGGTTAAGGGGAAGCACAAGGATTATCATTTAGGATCCCTACCAACTAGATGACTACATTTTCTTGGTTCAAACTGCAGATATTATTGCAGCCAGTTTGACTACAACAAGACACTTGACACCTACTTAATCCGGTTTGAATGTAACATTCTGTTTGAGTTGCATTATAAAGTTAGAAGTGTGTATTTCTCAGCAGCTTTTCCATTACTTAAAAAAATAGTATGAATGAGAAAATACATCATTAACTGAATTTTTCTCTTTAAAACGCCAAATCACAAGAAAAAACTAAGGTCACTTCACAAAAAGATGCTACTCTTTATTATGTCATTACGGTGACCCAGCATTGGTCTACCAAAAGCAAAACACGTGGCAACAGCAGCAAGGACAAAGATTTTAAACAGGCAGAACCAGACTTGTGTTTAACAGCCGTCTGCCATGACTGGGTGGGCCAAGAAAATGAAGGCGAACCAGATTACAAACAGTGAAAATCTGTGGAATAAAAGCAATGACAGTGACGTAATGATAATATAAGCATGTCTGGTAGAAAATAGTCAGAACTGTTCAAGTCAACGGGTCAACTTTTAAAATGAACAGCTATCATAATGATAAGATAGGGCTGCCGGGTAGCCTAGCTGTCCTATCCAATAAAGGCAAAAAATGGCACAAAAATATCTTGGAAAAAAAGATAATATGAACAAGACTGATGTAAGAAGTTGTAGCAGGTGGGGGGTTAGATATCTAGAGAGGAGAGAGCGGTCAGGCCTTAGCTAAGGCACAATATTTACACAAGTCATGTGACAGCAGACGGAACAAAGGTCATTATTTGATTGGTTAGCATCCTCAATTCATTGAACTGGTAGGTAAGGTAGAAGTAAGTAAGGTAGACATTTCAGTGTATCTGTATTTCTAGGCACATCTACCTCTCCGTTTTTGTCCTTTGAGCCGATTTAAGTATTTTTGTGCACACCCTGTAATCTAAGTTAAAAAGCAAACCCACTGGACCCATCTTTACTTTCGCTAACCTTTATATGAAATGTCATGTTGAGATTCTCAAGTTGTTAAATAGCATTATATCTCATCTATTGAATGGAGATGTAACATGGATAAATCAGGCGCTGGTTGGTCATTTATCCTAGATTGGGATTGGTCCATTTGTTACTATTAGGCAGAGCTCCGTAAATCATTGGTCGGGGGGAATTGGAAGCGTGTGGCCTCCAGCCAATAAGACAAGACAAGGCCAAATTGACCTCATTAATCTATTTCAGACTCGGGATAGAAGAGAGTGTGTTTTCTGGTGTGCTATATGTGTTTGAATGGGCTGTGAGTGTTATTCAAGTTGGCTCTGTTTCCACGGTACAAGTCATTAATAATCAGGGGAACTGAGGAATTGGAAATATAATATAATTAACCTTTCCTGTAGGGTAGAAAGCCATCTAAGGGTTCAAGTCCTGTCCAGTTTGATCTATTAACTAAACACAACATCGCTTTAAAAACAAGTTTGTTACAAACAACTTTTTTGGTGGATATAGACCTGAAGTGAAGTACTCCAAGTGCTGGCAGATACATCCAGACTTTTTATTTTATCATTTTAGACACAAGCACGGCCATGGATAACGATCCATCCTTCAAACCTTCTGCACTTCGATTACAGAGATACTTTGTTTTCTCTCTGACGTCTCGCACTGCAAATAACTCAAAACGAGCACAGAATATTTTGTAATAAGTAAAAACAAAAATCTGCAAATAGGGCAAGAAGATGTCACTCGTCAATTGTCCGAGCAATTCTAGCCTAAATGTATTTGCTTTTATATGTGAAAATACAATGTTTTATCTGGACTTGTAAGGTGAATGTTGCTTATAATAAGTATACTGAGATATTTTTGGCTAAAATTTAGACACTTGCTTAGTTTTGAGATTTAGCAGTGTTAAAAAATCAGCAATGAATGTACCTCTCTGAGAATGTGCACCTTTTTGCAGTAGATGTCGCCCTTGAGCACCAGCATAAAACCAAAACAAACTGCTGTTTGGGCGCACCTCCGTCATACTGAAGCCCCTGCTCACCTCCAACCAATTTTCAGAAATACTGGACTGCAGAAAGCTGAAGATAACCCTTGAAGTCCAGCCTATCAGCGTCATCGTTAAAGACGTTTATCAGATGCCACCGTATATCTTATGATATACATTTTCCCTGTAGTATTCAGTCCAAGTTTCAGGTTACATAGTTTACATATTAAGCAATACTACAGGTCTGTTGGGCAGTGGGCCCACCAGAGAATAAACCTTCATAGAGGCAAATAAGGTGGTGAACAAACACATCTGGAATGACCTACACAAACACGACAATGGACATCATGTTCCTCACATTCACACCACCTTGGACGCTCTGTACCTCCTGCAGAGTTTCTCCCCATCAGGGGGCATGGTGCCATAGCCATAGTATCCCCACTGCTGATTGCTCAACATTCCCAGAAGTTCTGAGTGATTCTGAGAGGTTGAACATAGCAGTAGATAGTATTTATCGCTGCAGCACGACCGTCTATGTAATAGACCCTGAGTTCTTCCAGACTGACAGTCGCTGTAAAGCTTTGATTGATGATGTGGCTGGCACACCTTCTCAGTGAAAGGTTACCTGTTTTTATCATCCGTGCAATCAATAGGCAGTTGTATGTTCCCTGACTGTGTCTCTCACATGCATTACACTCGGTTCAAAGCAGAAATATCCTTCATAAAAATGTGCCTTTGCAGTTGGTAACATTTTATTTACTCAACAGAAGGAATTTAGTAAAACATCATTTGGTATTTAAAGATCATTTAAGCATACTAATGGCTCTCAACATGTTGACCCACCTGAACTTTCATGAACTGTAATGATACAGTGTGTTGTTAGATAAGCTAAACTGACCTTTGAACCTTCTTTGTCAAATAATCCTAGCATGGGAGAACAAGGTATAATGTAGGGCTGGGGATCTTTGGGTGTCTCACGATTTGATTTCAACTCTTGGGGTCACGATTCAATTAAGAATTCTGGATTCATAGATTCAAAGTCTATCTTTGAATGAGTACATGCTTCAGGATCTACTCCAGTCGTCTGTGAGACTGGCTGAATTTCGTGTTGCTCCATTTGGCATTCTACTAAGTTGAAGAGCTAGCATTAGCACTTAGCTCGATTTTTGGAAGTTATGAATGGATTTAAAATCTCAGAAGATAAGAATCTCGATTTTTAGATGAACATTTTTTTCCCCACCTCTAGTATAACGTATGACTTTAGGTGTAGATGTCACTCTTTAAGACCAGTCTCTCAGACCAAAACAAAGCTTTACCTTGGCCGTACCTCCACTGTCCCCCAGCACACTGTTCCAACTGTGTGCAACCATCTGTCCAACCAGCAGCCCTGGTCCTTTTTTCTCCACCACTAGCGTCCCTGAGTGGACGGGGCCATCTCTCTCCCCCCAAAGTGGTGGCAGGACTAACAGTTGGAGATGGATGGAGTTCATGTGACATGTTTGAGCCTCTTAGGGTGCGGTCACACTGGCCATCCGTACCGTGCTGTACCCAAGCACGATTGACCCCCCCCCCCGCAGCGCCATTCCCCTGCTGACCGGCCCGGCCCGCGGTCACACTACACAGGACTATCCGTGCCTAAGCACGATGAGAGAGAGAGAGAGAGAGAGAGAGAGAGAGAGAGAGAGAGAGAGAGAGAGAGAGAGAGAGAGAGAGAGAGAGAGAGAGAGAGAGAGAGAGAGAGAGAGAGAGAGAGAGAGAGAGAGAGAGAGAGAGAGAGAGAGAGAGAGAGAGAGAGAGAGAGAGAGAGAGAGAGAGAGAGAGAGAGAGAGAGAGAGAGAGAGAGGGGGGGGGCAGTCGAGTTCGCGTCTGCATGACAGCTACTTCACTGACTTTGCAGCTTATTTTAAGCCATTTTAATCAGACACAGCAATAATACAGACATGAAACTCTGGATCTCTCCATAATGAAGGCTGTCAGCGTTGTGTACCCGCGTGCTTGTGCTCAAGCATGAAGTGTACTGTGCTGAAGCACACCTCTCTGAAGTGTGCCAAAGCAAAGGAAGTGTACCGTGCCTGAGCACGATACGGAGCGGTCACACTGGTCAAACGAACTGGACTTTAGCGTTGAAGCGTGCTTGGGCACTGTACGGATGGCCAGTGACACTGTGCCCTTAGTGACACATAAACATGCTGAAGTAAGCCCCACCCACTCAGTGTGGAAAAAAGAGCTAAGAACAACAAACCCTGAGGAAGCTTGACCTCAGCCTTTTAGTAGGTACATATTTGATACTTGCTATAATAAGAATGTTTAAAAAGTTGCATATATATATATATATATATATATATATATACCTGTTACAATCAGGGAAATACTGTGCTATGGACTTTTAGTCAACAGCACTATAGCTTTTTGTCGCCTGTTGATAGCAATGTGGCAAAAATGCACCACATCCCATTTAAACACCAACACACCCATGGGTACAAAGAAAACTGCAAGTCATCTCCTACTTACATGACATGACATAGCCCCATGCAGGTGTGGAAATAACAGCCTCTCAGGTACCGGTGGACTGCCTGATGGGATTGTATCTGTTAAGCTAGCATTGGTTCTAATAATGTTTTATCAGATTTATTAATTTTCCCTCTTCTGGCCCGCTCGGAAAAACTTGTAGAAACCCAAAGTCTTTGATGTTGAGTTTTCAAAGGGCTTAAAGTGGGTTGATGATGCATCTTTACAGTTAGTTTTTATCTGTTTGGCCAGCAGTATAGAAGTTCATTTCTTGTAATAAGCCTTCTTTCAAGTGTTGGACCATCATAAATTGTGATCAATAGTCTGAGGCTGTGGGTTACATTTACCTGATTTGACTCCTGTATTGGTTCAACTTTGTGATGAAGTATAGTTCTACTCAACTTGACAGGTAACGACCTAAACATACTGAAAAATTCTAACTGAAATAATTCAGCATTCTTTACCAAACCAACCTGTTCCCTCCCTCGACAAAGCATCTGCTTCTGCTGCACTTCCCACCTCCCGGGCTGTTTGTAAGTTTATAGCAAGAAGCTGTGGCAAGAGTGGCAGCTCAAGTGGGATATGAGGCATCTGTTGCCAAATGCATCAAGAGGCCTGAACCTTAATTTAACAGCCTGTCCTGTTTTCACAGTTAGCTTGGTTACTAAGTGTTAGCATCTTCTCAGCGCTTGGGACTACATCTGCCTCTTTGCCATCAGAAATACCATCTAGCCAAAAAGTCTTCCCCTTCAGTTCAATCTTATTATATCATACCATGCCATGTGGTTTCGAGATATACCTTGATTTATCTTAGCGTTTATAGCAGCACACAATTTATACCATTGGCTCTTTGTCTTGTTCCAAATCCAATTTTCCACTTTTTGTGTGGTGGTAAGTCTCCTCCCTAATGCTTCTTTAAAGTAATCAGCCTGGTTTGTTATTCTATTTTCTACTGTTGTCACAAGTGTCGTCGTTTTATCAACCTGCTTTGGAAAGCAGGTCATTTTTGGAACAGTTGTTGCATTCAGCTCCTGCCCACATGCTGAATCTTCATAACAACTATACTCCCACGTCCCTGCGCTCTTACTCTACTCAGAGGATTAAAAAAAAGGTGCGGAGAACATTCAAATGCTGGAAAATGCAAGAACAGGAGCTGCATCCAACAGATGAGGAAGAAGACAGAATCTCCACACAGCCTGCAACAGTGTGTGTATGTGCCTGACTAGATCCCATCTTATGTTGGGTCAGGAAAAGTGTCTTACCCAAGGACACATCGGTCACTTTTTCTTCTTGGTCATGTTGCTGCAGGCGCTGGGGATTGAACCCTTGACCTTCCAGTTGAGAGACGACCGACTCTACCAACTAGGCCACAGCCGCCCCAAATTGTGTGAAGCATCCCAAAGCATATCTCACTTATGTGATCGAATGATACTGCGAAAATGAGTTATGAGTAGTTCAAGGTATAATCAAAAACTTGTGTCAGATCTGTTTTAAAAAGTTTTTCTTTGAGGGGGAAAAAAAATCAATAATTAATAGTTCCTTGGAACGGCACTGGGCTCATTTTCTCTGCAGAAACGCATTTCCTTCTCTCTGTTCTCTTTTTATGTTTGCCAAAAGAAAATCGACTGAGCTAATGTGTGAGCTGTCGGGAGAGTTGGAATGAATAAACATTGAAAATGTCACATTCCAGCCGACACCCTGATTAATTAAAGAAAAAAACACTTCAACAATATCTGCAACTCCTGTTGGACTCATACCTTCTTTTTGTTCTTTGCTGCAAACCAACATAACATAACAGCAGTATTCCTGACATCATGTCTAACATCAATAAGTCTATAAGTTGTGCTTTGTCAGGATGATGTTTGCAGTAGTTGAACCCGAAAAAGCTGGAAGGCAGTCACTGAACCTGTCTCTATAAATTCTTTGGTTTATCTCCTTATGACAAGCTGACCTTAATTTGCCTCTGTGGTGTTCACTTTAAAAGAGCTCTGACCGCAGAAGCTTCCCTGGAGCACTTAAACAAAACCACAACACCTCCCAGCGCAGCCTGTTTGATTCACTCCGAGGGGAAATGAGGTTTTCATTCCCGTCTTACTCTGTTGTTGTTGTTTTTGTAATTGCAATGGCAATATTAAGTGCATCCAATTGACTTTGCACACTCCAAAAAAAACCCTCGTCTTCACATTTGTTCTACAAGGCAGATGGCAGCGAGGTAGAGTGCTGCCCCACATGACCTGCTCATCGCTGGTTCCCATAGTGATGACTAGTGATCACCAGGCAATGAGGAACAGAGCAAATGAAAAAAAAAAAAAACAGATTGCTGCAAGTTGTGTGGTTTTCCCCTCACTCTGCAATTGTGATCTTTGCTGAACAATGAATGATGTGATTCTTTTAGACGTTCTTGCATTAGTGATGCACACATTAAGGCAAGAAAATGCCTCTTTTTATTTTAATCCCAAAGCTGTGTCCTCCTTCCTCCTTCCTTTTGTTTATTTTTGTCATCATCTCGAGTGTGAAATTAAGCCTCTGAGAGCATGCAACTCAGTCTTCGTAATCCCTTTGAGGCAAGGCGATGATATTCATTTGACTTTTGTGCGTTTTCATGTATTAAAATGTTTTTTTTTTCGGTTTTTTTCCCCCACAGCTCACACCCCAGACAACAGTTTCCTGGGCTTTGTAGTGGAGCAGCACCTCAACGCCAGCGACATCAGGCACATCGACGACATCAAGAGGCAGAACCAGTCGCTCGTCTACGGGAAGGTCGACAACTTCTGGAAGGTACCGTCGTCTTTTTATGCGGTCAAACATTTTTGAATTGTAAAAATCCAAATTAAGAGTAAAAACTTACTGGGGCGCTGGTTGCGCAGTGGTTGTAGTCTTCCAAGCGGGCGGCCCAGGTTCAAATCCGACCTATGGCTCCTTTCCTTCATGTCGTTCCCCACTCTCTCTCTCCCCCGTTTCTGACTCTATCCACTGTCCTATCTCTCCAATAAAAAGGCACATAAAGCCTCTGACTTCCTGACATTGACACGAGGTAAGTTTTTAGATATTCCAAGTTCACTACACTTCTTTTTAGGATGGGATTGTTGTTTCTACTCGCTTAAGTTGGACATAAATACATAGAAAACACACACTTACCTACAGACATGTTTGGACATACACAAAAGTACCAAGAGATAAACACATATTTCTTCTAAAGATGAAAGTGAAACTCGAGACAAAAAGACAAAAAAGGAGTAAGAAAAAAAAAGTATCCATTTTCTAAAGGTTATTGAAACAATTACTGATGACAACTGAATGCAAAGTTTGCCAGTGAATAGAGTAGAGGGTATAATAAATGACATGTCACCTGCAGCTGGATTGTCTTATTTCTGACTGCAGGAAGAAAGAAAGAAAAGAAAAAAAGAAAGGAGTAAGGCTCAGGATAACCCGTTTCCAGACCTCTGAGAGCTCAGGAGAAGTCTTTGAACAACCTTGCATCAAACTTTCACAGAAACACTTAATAACAGTCTGGTTTAGGGAGCTCTAAATTCAGCTTATCGCCCTCTCCGTGGAGTTTTTTAATATATTCAAATGCATGCTCACACTGCGGCACGGAGACCAGAGGATTACTGTATCCAAGACAAAAACGACTTAAGAGAGTTTGGGGGAGATTTGCACATTGTTTGGCGTGCCTTGGACGGTTGGATTAGTGCCCTCGCCTTGATGAGCTTTTAGCCGACACCATGTATGTTTCAAACCGGGTCGACTCCAGACTCAGCGGACTCTTTTGATGTCTGGCACAGTCGAATGTTAGGAGCCATGAGAAAGAATATCTGGATTGTAAGATGCCTTTTGTGTTGTCAAAAAGAATGTACATCTGGAGACTGTGAGATGAAGATGTGCATATTTTCATTAAAAGGCTAAACTTACTGATCAATGGTGTTATACTGCAAACTCTGTCCTGTCAGTCAATCATGGTATGTCCCACTTACAAACTCATCGGCCTCATATTCATGCCTAGCAATCCCATTTGAACTGTTTTATACCATGAGTCAACCATTTATGTATTACTTTTATGCTAAGCTAACCCTGCTGCTGGGTTTTTTTTCAATTATGTCACCTGTATCATTTACATTTGTCCTCTCTTAACATTTATACATCACTTACTATTTCAACTATTTAAAACTTTTAGGGGACAGTTAGCTAGCCTTACTCTGCGCTAGCTTGGTTTTTGTGTTTGTTTTTTTTTAGCTTTAACCCTTTTTCAAAACCATAAGCTAACTATGCCATTCATGCATTACTCTTTTGCTAAGCTAACTCTACTCTAGCTTGCTTTAAAGCTCCTGTAAGAAACTTTCGGTCTGTGTTGATTTTGGCGACCTCTGTGGCCAAAGCGGTATATTGTCTCGTTATCTTGTTTGAATCTAAACACGTCATGCAGCAGCTTCATCCATTAAAAATAACTATCAACATAATCAATCTTGTGGCTGATTCTAAGTCATAAAGAGACATTATTATTACTTTCAGTCTGTTTCACAAACAGCTCAAATCTTCTCATAGTAGCTTTAAGCTTCTTCGGCATGAACACATTTAGCTTTTAGCTGTTTTACCTCCAACTCTTACATTGTCTTTACCCAGAGCTCCATTACATTTACTGTGAGCTTACTATTTGAACAGTTTATTTATCACTTTAAGCTAAAGGCTTCATTACGTTGGTTTTAACATCAGTGTAGTGAAACAGTTTCTCATGTCAGAACTTATGTTCCTCAGATTCATGCTGAGTTAAAAACAGATAACAGAGTCAGAGGTACTCATGCGTGGAGCCTCCCACTGGGTTGTTCTGTTGAAGCAGATGGGAGTTAAGTACTTAATCAAGAGTGCTTGAACATTATGTTTCAAGAGTTTGACGAGTACTCGCACAGGTAGCCATGTCGGCCTGCCTCTTTAAAACTGTGCTGCAACACATAACACCAAACTGCTCAACATGCTGAACCTTCAACACTTCACTTTTAAAGCCAACGTGGATGAGAGAAAAGGTGCTTTATGTGGCCAAAATGTCGCTCTGGGGTTAGGAATATTGATTTGTCCAGAGAGAATCCAACCACCAACCCAGCACCAGGAAGTTCTCCTTTCTTTTTTAAAAATTAGAATCAAACTAGATCAAAAGGTGTTTGAGTCCTATTTCCAGAATGTTTCCCAAATGACTTTTAATCCAGAGGTAGCTGCTGTGTTTTGTATTTTCTACTACTGAGTCAGAACCATTGAGTCGAGCTATTAAAGATAGAGCCCATCAGCTCGCAGCAAGCGGCATTAGCTACTAATCAGACTCCCAAGCGTGTTCATTACCTCCTGCTTTTAATTAAAGGGCCATTTTGGAGCCGACTGATAACGAGCTGACTGCCTTACTCCATTTCCCTCCCTCCTTCCATCGCTTCCCCTGCACACGAGAGGTTTTATGTCCAAATTATTTATTAACTATTTCAAATAGAAAGCGGCACCCACTGCGAGTAATCTATTTCTAGCATTCAGCTTCAATTAAAGATGTCATTTTATGAATGACACTAGTGTTACACACACTCTTAAGAAGTTAGAAGTTGAAGTAAATACTTTCCAGCCCAGATTACACCGCCAAAGTCCAGGCTTTATTTTTTTTGATTGCCAAAATCCTCCATCTCTTGATCTATTTTTTTAGCCACATTTACTGTTCCTGCACCCCTTGTCCTATATTTTCTGTTTATCCCGGGATCAAAAGATTTCTCTTTTAAAGTCACTTCTGGTGTATGCAGGAAGTCGTTTGTAAAACGCTTCTTATATAAGATCCCATTGATGATGAGCATGATTCCAGAAGTAGCTGTGTGTTTCATGACAGATGTTTGGAATTCCTTGTTGAGCTTTAAAACAAACAAGAAAATAAATGATGGATCGAAACTGAAAATGTGTGACGCACAGCAGGAAACATTAGAGTCAGTTAGTGTCGTCCAATGCAGGAGGAAGTCCCCTTCCTGGGGATCCATTTGCAGCAGGGGTTAATGTGGGTTAGGCAAGTAATAGTCTTCACCTAAAATACAGCTCCTCTCTCCGCCTGATCAGTATGCAGAGGTGCCCAGGTCACGCTCATCCCACAGGTGAACTGCTGTGTGAGGCAGACTGAGTAATCACACACACTCTTGTTTACTTCCATGCACGCACATTATTTTTTCATGTTTCCGTTGCACATTTTTATTGACACTAGTGTACGTCAAAGTCAAAACTTAGTAAATAAAGTCAAATTTGTGGGGCCTGACCGATTAATCAGCCGGCCAATAATATCAGCTGATATGACGATAATGATACTTTACTTAACCAACTTGTACCCTAAAGGAATAGTACAATAAAAAAGCAAAGATTGAACCTCCTGCCTGCTGACTTTAACGTCCCTCAGGGAGGATGTGTCCGGTGTCTGACACTCAGAGTCATGCTGGTCAGCATCATGAAACATGAATGCCTGATGAGGTCAGTCGAGCTGAAATGTTGCATTTGAACTGACTGTGAGCTGATCATCAGTGTGTGCAGGCCTTTATTCAGAACCTTCATGAGGGGACTTTTCACTCCATGCTCCGTGGTTGCATCTATGTTATTTCTTTTGAATCAGCTTGTGTTGGAATCGTATACAAGCTGAAGGGTCAAAGGCCGCTCATGTGAACTGCATGAGAAACATTCAGAAATAACATTTGTTTTTTTTTGTTTTTTGTTTTTTGTGTTTAAAGGAGCGAATGAGATTATTTTTTATTGTTGATTGTGAAATCCGAAGTAAAATATCCAGACCATCTCTGAGCGAGGAGTTTCCATAGCAACCCAGTTGGAAAAAAGGCAGAGAGAGGGAGAGTGACTTGCTGTCTGTTCTGTCTGTGAAGTGAAGTTTTAGTATTAAACATTTGGGATCTCTTTGCCACATGTTGTTGAAGCATTTGTATTACCTTCCAAACTAAGACAGGAAACCAATAAGGGGATTCTATTGGAGCTTGCCTCAGCGTCACTGTTTTTAAGCATTTAATGGGTGAAAAAGGGAACATGGAGAAAGGTCAGATTGGGTAGGATGTACAGAGAGGGAAAGCTGCAGGGCTCTGGCAGCGGATCAAAGAACACCGAGAAGAAAGGGAAATCATACTCGGCTGACAGGAACACACACACACACACACACACACACACACACACACACACACACACACACACACACACACACCTTTGCATATTCCACCATAGCAGGAACTAAAACCATCCAACAGACAACAGTGAGCTTCGCCCTCTTTTCAGATAGATAACCTGGTTGAGTTGATTATCAAACCGTCTTTAGTTTATCTTCCATTTGAGGAGCCGATGAAGCAATTCCTTGTTCAATTATTATCTTTTGACCTTTGAGGAAGGAGCTTGCTTTAAGTGGGAAATGTTTACCAATTTCCTATGTCATATTTTTATTGATTTTGGCCATATCCAGAAGGTTTTGATCATTACTGTAGCATCCGAGAGCTTTCATTATTGTGTAAGTGTTTCTGTGTGTAGGAGGAACTTGTAAACCAGTCAAATTGTTTGTGTTTGTTCACACATTTGGCCTATGAAGCTGATTCTGTGAAAGACAAAGCCAGTTGGAGTTTTAGCTGAAGTGTAAGTACTGAGAGATGTTGCACTCAATAACTGTTGGAGTAGTGTCGGATTTGGAAGAAAGCAAAGAAGGGCTATGATATCTAGAAAATTTCAGGATCTGAGCCCTGAAAGTGAATACAGAACTTACTCAGCAATCATTTAAAGAGATACATACA